GCCCCCCGAGAGCGCGGCCAAGCGCCCGCCTGGCCTCTTCCGCGCGCTGCTGCAGAGCGTGCGCCGACCGCGGTGCTGCTCGCGGGCCGGCCCCACGGCCGAGTGAGCTGCTCCCCTTTTGTACGCCGCGTTTCCAACCTTCTCAGGCTCCCTCCTTGATCCCGGGCTCCTAGAAAGGATTCCTTCCACGCGCGACAGGCCTCCGAGGGGTGGGCAGCCTCTAGGGCCTTCTCATCCCCTTCTTTTCAGCCCCCCTTTTCCAAATACACAAATGAACCCCCTCTACCCAGCTCCCTCGTGGTCATGAGCCCACGAACCCAGCCCTGGCACCCCACTGTCCCCTCACAGCCCTCAGCTCCACCCCCTCCCAGTCACACCGGGTGACCTCGGAGACCTGCTCAGCACCCCCACCCCCAGCCATGAGAGCTGAGGCAGGATCCCGAGAGGTCCAGACTGGCGTGCGGGGACTCCAGTGGCAGCCAGGTCCCGAGAACGGGAGAGACTGTACAAAAGCTCCGAGTGTGCAAGGATTGGGGTGTGACACCCCTGAGTGTGCAAGCCTCTGAATGTGAGGCCTTGGGCGTGTGTGAGTGCATGTCCATGTGGCGGGCTGGCCCCCGTGGCCCAGGCATCTCTTGCATGCTGGTAGTCGTCCCCAATTCCTGTCTCCCATCACCTGGCCCCACCCCCAGCCCTATCTCCGCCCTCACTGGCCGCTGGTTCCCAATCCCCAGACAGGGAGGGCAGCTGCGGGAGTCGCCTGGGGGGCAGCTGAAAGGAGAGGTCCAGAAAGGTCAGAGGCTCACAGAAGGTCTTGGGCCCAAGCAGCCTGGGTGACAGCTGGTCATGGGTGGTGGGGCAGGACTGAGAGCTCATTCACAACACAGTTGTCCTTTAAAAGCCAGCCTCTCCAGCCCCTCGTCCCCTGTGTGCTGTGAGCCCCACAAGTTCCTTGTGACCACTCAGTACCCCTGTCCCATGTCCCCGCCCTTCCAGCCACAGTTTTTGGCTACAAACTGTCACAATATACATTGATAATAAAATTTTCCCCCAACTCTTGTCAGCTGTCATTGGCTATAAGCAGACAGGGGCAGAGCAACAGGAATGTATTATTACTTTCCAGGAGAGATAGGTACAGTGTGAGGGTGACAAGGCCTCTTCGGAGGTGGACCGGAAGAGTGGGAGCCCACATGGGGCTCTGTGGCAAGGGTCCAGTGGCAGGGGCCCCGTCACAGGTCTGTGGTGTTGAGGCCTGCCTCGGTGAAGGACAACTCCTGTCCACCTGTGCCTGGCTTCCTTCCTGCCAGCACCACGCTCAAGGGCTCTGGATCTGGCTCCGTCGGACTGTGCAGGGGTTTCTTCTGTGGGGAGAGGGAGGTGTGAAGGGCAAGGGCAAGGCGGGGTGAGTTCCCTGGTCCTTAGGGGAATGGGTGGGCCTTCAAGCCCATGACCAGATGGCTCCTTGGCTGGGTCCCACCTGCTCCTCCTGGGGCCTCAGTTTCCTGGCTGTGTCCCAGAGGTGGCTGTGGGCACTGGTGGTGCAGATGGGCTCAGGTGAAGGGGTGGGCCTAGGGGGAGTCTACTCACTTTTGCCCCACCCACAGACACAGCGGAACTTTGGTGTTCTGCCCAGTCCTTAATAATGCCCGACCCTCTGTCCCATGCCACGGAGCCAGTCCAGCACAATTCCTGCCACTTGCACTCCACGGCAGGCACCGTGCTGGGCGCAGTCCATCCATTACCTGAAGTATCCACAGGAGCCCCCTGAGGCAGGGATCATGTCCCCCATTTTATAGATGTGTAAACTGAGGCTCAGAGGGCTCTCATGGCCAGGAAGGGGCAGAGCAGGGTTTGGACCACTGCTCTCGCTGGCTCTAAAGCCTCTCCACGGCACAGTGCTGCCCATCGTTGAATTTGGCATCTCCTGCCACCCTCAGAGGGACATGTCACCCCAGAGTCCCACCTGCAGTTCATCATGGTGCATACTCATCTCCCTGCCTTTCCTCTTTGCCCTCCTCCTGTGACCTGCCACACAGCACCTCACAAGTACGCCCTCCTGCGGACCAGCCAGGTCCCCAGGCTCAGCTACTCCCACAGACACCCCCCGGGGGAACCCTGCTGCCACCAGCCTCCCCAGGGCACTCCAAGGAGTTTTTCCAGATCGGGGCTGTTCTGGTCCCTGGTAAACAGTGGAAGATCTCAGGGGCCCCAGGAGGGACTCAACATTCTGCCCCTGCTCCCCAGAGCCCTCGCCACAGACTCCCAGCGGGAGCTGTTGGCGCAGCGCAACCCAGGAACATGCGACCTGGGCTGGGAGACAGGAGACCTGGGTTCTGGTCTGCTCTTGCCTTGCAAACTTTCTGACCTTGGGCAAGTCAGCACCCCTCTCTGGCCTTGGTTGATTGAGAAGGTTGGATTGGATGACCCTCAGGTCTGTCAGACCTTCCACACAAACATTTACGGAAGTGTTGGGTGAGTCAGGGCATGAGGGATCCACAGAAAAAGGCCACACCTGTGTTCCCCACCCGGAGACCCAAGGCCCGCCTACTGCTGCAGGAGAGAGGGTGGAGCCTGAAGCAGCTTCCCAAGTTGTAACATCCCCCTGCTGTTCCAGGACAGTCTTGGCTCTTTCTTGGCTTTGAAGGCTCTCAGTGGTCTGGCCCCCCTCCCTCTCAAAAATCTCCTCTCAGAGCTCCCTGCCCTTCCCCAGCCCACAGGTCCACCACTGGGGACCCTGACTCTACTCCCCTCTGGGGGTCAGCTTTAGCCTCCACCAGGGGTCACCTGCCTGGCCACAAGCTCTGGCAGGCAGGACTGTTCCCTTCTGCCTCAGTTCCCCCCAGACATGTTCATTGGGGCTTTTGCCTCAAACCATCTTCAACCAGAGATGAGCCGTCCACTTTGGGGCCTCCACCACTGCCTGGTGGCGTGGATTACCACCCATAACCTCTGTCCTCGGGGGCCCGTTTGGTGACCTCCATGTTACAGCCAGGTCCCTGTGCAACATTCTGGTATTTTAACAGCCACGAGAGGCTGTGGTTGACCAAATCTTTCCAAGAAAGGGGTCCTCAGGGGAAAATAAGTCCTGAAGCATGACAGAAGGCTGGGAGCCCTGGAAGGCGGGCCCCAGAGAGTGGGGGAGAAAGTAGATGGTGGGTGGATACCCACCCCACACACACACACAACTGCAGACTTGAAAGCTCGATGGGCCTTAGAGCTTCTACTCCAGTGGGGGTTTTCAGAGCGTGAAGGAGAGAGGGTGGTTCCTCCTGGTTCTGGCGCCCTCCCTCTGGGGAGAGGACCCATCCCCCACTCCACCTGTTGGCCTGTACATTAGAACCCCCGGGAGCTTTAACAACATATTCATGCCCAGGCCCACCTGGCTATCGGCTCAGAATCTCTGGGCTGTCACCTGGCATAGGTATGTCTAAAGAGCTCCCCGCGTGATTCCGATCAGCCCCAGGCTGTGTGAACTCTTGATCTAATTGAACCAACTAACCTATTGAACAAATGATGATACTGTTGCTTACTTGAGCCTACCTTCTGTCCTTTGCTAGATGATGTTCAGCTCCAGCTCTCTTCCCCCACCCTGCCAGCTTTTATGTAAAGGATATAAAGGGAAGGAACCAGATTCTTGAGCACTTGCTCTGTGCCAGGTGGTTTCTATACCCGTTCTCATGTCTTCCTCACCACAGCCCTGCATGGTTGGTGTTCTGATCCCCATTTACAGATGAGAAAACCGAGAACCAGAGGGAAGAAGTCACCCACCCAGGGTCACAGTGAACGAGTAGAGGAGCAAAGATTAGACCTCATTCCAACGCCTAGGGCTTCCCAGGGCCCAGCGCAGAGATGTGCCAAAGTCAGCAGCAGGTCCTTCAGCTCTGTCCTGAACCCACCCCTTCAGAGAAGGACCCCAAGTCAGGAATCCCAGGCACCAACTCATCCCCCATCTTGCCTTGATTTTCTGCTTGTCCTTTTCCAGGTCCACGGAGTTGTCATCCAGGGAGCTGAAGCTGTGGGGTAGATGTTGGAGCTCAGATAGTTGGCAGGCCCTGTCTTCCCTGTCTGTGACCAAGAACCACCACTGCCTCCACCACCATCACCACTACACCATCACCATCACCACTATCACCACCACCATCACCACCACCATCACCACCGCCACCGCCACCGCCGCTGCCGCCACCACCATCGCCACCGCCACCACCACCGCCATCACCACCACCAACACCATCACCAACACCATCGCCATCACCATCACCACCACCATCACCACCATCACCACCACCACCACCACCATCACCAACACCATCGCCATCACCACCATCACCACCACCATCACCACCACCACCACCACCACCACCACCATCACCAACACCATCGCCATCACCACCACCATCACTATCATCATCACCACCATCACTATCACCACCACCATCACCAACACCATCGCCATCACCACCATCACCACCACCACCACCACCATCACCAACACCATCGCCATCACCACCACCACCACCACCACCACCACCACCATCCAGCCTGGCTTTGAGGAGCACTGCTCACCTGATCTGGTCCAGGTCACTGGAGAAGGCTTGGGACTCGAAGCCTAGGTCCTTGGTGGCGAGGTTCAGCATGGGATTGGCCCTGGAGAGAAGGCCCAGTCAAGTGGCCGTGGACCTCAGCTGCCCCATGGGGCCTCTTACCCACCATCTGACCCCCACTTACCACTCAGTGGTGTACATGTTAGTTCCGGGGATGGCGGAGACTGAGGGCATCACCCCTGCCACTGTCCTCCGGGCCTCCTGGGCAGCCTTCATAGCCGAAAGCTTCCGGTGGTAGCTGTGGGGAACCAGGAGGGGGGTCACTCCTTTCCCTGCACACACTGTGTGCCCCAGGCAGGCCCTGAGAGTGGAACTTCACCACGACCCCGGCAGGTGAGAGTGTCAGCTCCATTTTACAGAAGGTACAAGTGAGAGCCAGAGAAGGGAAGTGATTTGCCAAAGGCCACACAGCTGGCCAGTGGCAAAGCCTAGACTCAGGCCCAGGTGTGGCTGCTGACTCCACACGTATTGGAAAGGAGAAAGAAACAGAATCCATCCAACACATAGTATGTGTCAAACATCACGCTGATGTGAGATTCTGTTGCTTCCCGAGGGCTTTGAGGAAGCTAGTGTCATGCCTATTCTGCAAACGAGGATACTGAGGCTCGGGAGAAGAGAGGACCTTCCCAGAATGTCACAACAGGTCACTGGGAACTGAGTACAGATACACCTGACGCCGAACCTCATGTCTTCCACCCCCAGCTGTCTTGGGTGGTGGGAGAGCAGAGGTTGGAGATGGAGTGATGGGAGCCGCACCTCTTCCGGGCACACACGAGGGCCGCGCTCATGATCACGATGACCAGCAGCAAAACCACTACCAGTCCTATGATGACGCCACTGAGCACTGTTGGCGTGTCTGACTCCTGGCTCTCCTGGGAGCCCTGGAGGAGGAGGAGTATGAGGGAGGCTGTGGGCCAGCATGCTCCCTCCCCACGCCCCCGTCACCTTCGCCCTGCCGCCACTCACCAGCACCACCAGCCCCAGCTGCAGCAGCCGCGTCAGTGAGTCCTGGTCGCTCCGGATCGTCCTGGCCACAGAGCCCAGCTCAGGCCCGAGGGACACTGGCGTTCCCCGGGCTTCCTGCTCACCCCGCTCCCCTCTCCAAGGGCAGCCCTACTCACACACTCAGCTCGTTAACTGTCAGGGCTGTCCCATTGGGGAAGACAAAGTAGGCATCGAGGTAGGAACGGCCCCGGACCCTGGAGTGGGGCAGGCGAAGGGTCAGCAGCCAGAACCAGCCACAGGCACTTCCTGCTGCTGCCCCTCTTCCACGCCCGACGCCGGGCCCGCAGCACTCACTGAGTGGATTCTGCATCCTGGATGCTCACAGTGTAGACAGTGGTCCTGGTCGCCTGCGCAAGAGCCCTGCAAAGGGGACAGGTGTCACAGACGCCTGGGGTAGGGGCCTTAACCCGGGCCTGTGGCCAGGGCTTTGCCCATGGGATTAGGAATTGTGTGAATTAGAAAGGGACACCTCTTCTGGACAATGCCATTGGCTAAGCAGGTAGCACCTCTGTGCAAATTAGACAAAGAAACCCCTTCCCCTGGCACTGGGTTTACAGCTTAGCAAGCAGGGTGCCCTTGTGCAGTGCACAGCCTTCACAACTGTACATGGCAGCCCTGTTTAGGCCTCTCTCTGCCCAGCCATCCGTAAGCTTCTGGGGACATGCAGAAAGGAAGTGCAGGTACAGGGTCAAAGATGGGACAAGGTCAAGTGTGGGTCAGGGACAGGGTTGAGAGGCGTTTCATCCAGATCTTGTCAGGGATCAGACTCACAGGCCCTGTTCTTCCCCACAGTCCCTCCCAGGGTCCCCAGACCTACGTCGTAATCTCCTTCAGGTTGGCGCCCACCTCTTCCTTGTTCATGGAGAACTGTAGCCTCACACGGTAACTCTGGTCCACAGTGAAGAGCTGCGGGTGGAGGGCATGGGAACAGATGAGGCACGAGGCACCAGGGGCTGGCAGAGGGCCCTGGGGGCTGGAGGCAGGCTGACACTCACATTCAGGGCGATTTGGGCTTCCTGGGCAGGACCTACGGAAGGACTGTCCTGGGCCTGGACTGTCACGTGGTAGGTGCCTTGAAGAGTGGAATCAAGGCTGGTCACCAGCCTATGGAAGGTAGGAGCGCACAACTCAGACCTAGAAGCCAAGCTGGAGTCCTCTGGAACCCACTCTCACACCTTCCAGGATGGAGAACTCACTGCCTTGAGGCCCCCTTTGACTCCCCCCACCTCCATCTAGGGGCGGCCCACAGTTACTCAATGTTGCCAATGAACACGTTGTCCTCCGAGGAGGTGGAGATCTGGAAGAAGCCCTGGAAAGGGGTCGTAGCTCCATCCTTAGCGATGAAATCCACTTGGAGGATGGAGAACAGGATGGCCCCGTTGTCCCCTGAGTCATTGTCTCTGGCCTGAGGGCAAGAGTGGACAGTGTCTGGGGGCCAAGCCAGGCACCCCTCCACTCCCAGCAGGAATCAGAGGCTAGAGTGGCCTGGGGGGCTGGTCCGCATCATCCCCATCAGCCTTCCCAGGGCCACCCCAACTAAGCAAGTGTGTCGGACAGCATGCTGGCTCTGCAAATCCAGCATTGGACAAGTCCCTGCCTCTGGCCCTCTGGCTCAACAGGTCACTGCTCAAAGTCCCTTCCATGTGGAAATCCTGCCCTGCTGCTCCCCACCCGGCCCGCTACACACACACACACAAGCACGGGGACGCCTCAGACTTCCTGAGGACCTACTGTGTGCCAGGCACCTTCGCTTAGATCCGTCGTTTCAGTGCTTACTGACATAAGTACAAATTCCCCAGTGGACCATGAAATGATTGGGGGAGAGGGCACGAACATTTTTATTCATTCTGGTGCCTCTTAGAGAAAAATACAGCCAGCACACAGAGCCACAAGTCCACTGACATCAGTGTTCAAGATGAGGCCACAACTGGTGTTTAAGCTTCAAAAAGGAGTTGATTTAAAGAAAATTGTTCAAAGCCGTGGCCAGACTCATGACACTGGAATGCAACAGCCTGGGATTGGGAAATTGACTGTTTAAGGCTTGAAAGAATCTAGAGAGGGAGAATTACTATCCCATTTTATAAGAGGAAACTGGGGCTCCAAGAGAGACCCTGTCCACCAAAGACGCAGCCCTAAGTGGGGAAGGCAGCCCGGCAGCCTCCTACACCGTGCCCTTTCCAGGCACAGGAGTGCCACCCAGAAACCTCCCTCCTCTTAACCCTAAGAGGTGACTGTCAGGGACGGCCACTTCTTGTGCAGCAGGGGAAGTGAGTGTCAGAGAGGCGGGTAAGAGGCGCCCAGGCCTGGCCCAGGCTATGTGGGAGGCCTCACCCCCGCCTCCAGAGTCACTACCCTCTAGTAAACACACTCACGTCCAACACCATAAAGGATTGAAAGTATTTTTATAATTTTGCTGTGGAAATTATTTAACTACAAGGAACTCATCTAATTTACAGCTGCTGTGATTTCTCTGTAATACTCAACAATTCTGGCATAGTGAGAAAAATCTAGCCAGCAAGTGGTTTTTATGGTCATGAAATTTTTATGAATACTAAATTTAACAATTAATGAAGTTTAATCATATCAATTAGACAAGTGTTCATTTCCATTCTGGGGTTTTCTTTTCATATGTTGGAGCCAATAAATTTCCTTTCTAGTGTTAGAACATTTTGAGGGAGGCTGCAAGGCCTGAAGGCTTTGGCCCTGGGTCTCCTGGGGCTAATGTGACTGGACAGAGGCTGGAGCCAAGGACTTACCCGGACAGAAGCCACCTGCTGGTTGGGCATCACAAGTTCTGGGATGATCACTACAAGTGTGGACAGGAAGGGGTCAGCGGGGGCAGGGCCATTGCCCACCTGGCCTCATGCTGGCCACAAGCCCAGCTCAGAGCTCATCCCCCCAAACTGCCCTCAACCTCTCTACCACCAGCGACCCCCTTACAACCACCCCTGAGCCATTAGTTAGCAGCTCATCCACACCCATTGTGCAGACAGTGAAACTGAGGCCCAGAGAGGGAGGGCCTGGCCCAGGATCAGACATGAGTTGGGGCAGAGCTGGGGTGAAAACTCAGGCTTCCCTCTCATTGAAACCCTGGGGGAGAGGCAGGATTGGAGGCCTTGCTCCCTTTCTAGGGGCCCACCTGGGGCCTGAGGAGGGTCTCTGGGAGTTGCCAAAAGGTAGTCCGGGCAGAGTATGGTGCAGGTGGGGAGCGAGAGGCTCACTGCTTACCAAAAGTCTTATTCTCAGGCAGAAAGTAGGGTGCGTTGTCATTCACGTCCTCAATGGTGATGGGGAGGCTGCCTAGGGGGACAAGGTGGCTGGCTCTGGTCTCTAGGCAAAGGCCTGACCCAGAAAGCCTGGGCCTCAGCCATGCTCCCAGCAGCCTCCCTCCCATGCGTCACCCATGCTCAGTCCCCTCCCCTGCTCCCGACCCGGGACGCCCACTCAGTCTCCCCCGCCTTTGTGAGAGGGAGTATCCTCCCCAGACCTCAGAGAGGGTGGATAACTTGTCCAAAGTCACATAGCAAGAGCGGTGGGCCAAGATTGAGCCCAGCCCACTGTGTCCCACCTGCCCACAACATTGTACTGACACTTGCTAGCTGCATAAGCCCGGTTATTGACCACCCCTCTGTGCCTCAGTTTCCTCATCTATAAAATTGGGTAGAGGTCCCCTACCTCATGGGTTGTGTGGGGCTAAAATGAAGAAGTGCTCGCAAGGTGCCTAGCCTAGCTCTTGGCTGTAGTAGGGACTCACCCTATGCTAGCTCTTAATATGGTTATTGTTGCTACTTGGTGTCAGAGGTGGGACACGCGTACACATCTGACCCTGAAGTGTGCTCTCTCCTCTACAGTGCCTCACAGAATAGTGGCATTAATTCAGTGCTGACTGTGCCAAGCACTGCACTAAACACCCTACATGCATGTTCTCATTCAATCTTCACAGCCAACTTCCTACCCAACTCCACTTCAAAGATGGGGAAACTGAAGCTTGGGGAGGTGTCACAACCTTCCCGGTGACACAGCTGATAAGGGCTGGAGCCAGGATTTGAACCCAGACCTTGTGGGTTCCAGCCCAGTGCTCTTTCCCACACCCCTTCTGCTGCAGCCTGCCGAGCCCTGCAGGCCAGGCCTCCTCACCATTGTCGCTGTAGGCCTGGAAGTGGGGGTCCGTCGTAAGGTCATAGGCCCTCACGACCAGCGTGACCAGGTCACAGGTCTCATAGTCGATGGCCTCACTCTGGTTGACGAACACAGAGCCATTGGCCAGCACAGAGAACCAGCCGTGGCACAGGCTGCCCACGTCGACTCCTGCCTTGGTACAGATGACGTTCACAAGCTGTACCTCCAGCTGGGCCATGGTGTCCACATCTCGGGCGACCACCTCAGCCACCAGGCCATGCTGCGAGCCGTTCTCAGCCACACGGATGCCCTGGAGTGAGACCGAGTCCAGGGTGGGTGGCTCATCATTCACGTCCTCCACAGTCACGAGGATTTCTGCCGCGGCCTCGGCCCCCTGGGGGTCTGGGTTCTCGGCATTCACTGTCAGCGTGAAAGAGGCCTGTGTCTCGTAGTCCAGGCTCACGTCCGCGGGCAGCGAGAGGCGGCCCTCAGCCCACCCAGACCCCAGCACGGTGCCCCGGAGCATGAAGTTGTTGGTGCCGTTGCCCGACAGGCTGAAGCTGATGCGGTTGTTAGCTTCTGTCTGGTCTGCATCCGAGGCCGCCACCACGCCCACCAGCACCCCTGTGGACGAGGCCAGAGTTCCCAAGGGCCCCTGGCCTGGCCCTGGAGGCTTCCTCTGCCCTCACCTCTCTCGGGCGCTCCAGGCCCACCCTGCGCAGGGTCGGGGGCCCCAGCCCGGGGGCCCAGCCTGCCCAGGGAGGACTTGCCTGGGTCCCTCTCCTTCACCGGGAACGAGTAGGTGGGCTGGGTGAAGACGGGCAGATTGTCGTTGATGTCCTGCAAGCAGAGGCAGCCCTGAGCGCAGGGGCTGCGGGAGCCCCGGGGCTGAGCCTCCCCAGAGCCCCTCGGAGCCAATACTTCCTCTGGCCCCAGGCACAGACCCCGCCCTGCCTGCTCAGACAGCACTGCCGCTTCAGAGATGAGGACGGCCTTTGAGAGCACGGAACTGGCCGGGTCACACAGCTGGGGCTCAGAGGCCTGTGCTGGGACTCTGGAGTCAGTTAGACGCTTTCCGGGAGCCCCCCGCCTCCCTGTTTCTCTGACCATAGTTCAGAGCTGTCTTAGACCCTGCTTTCCGGAAAGATGGTTCCCGGTCCCCATCTGTGTCCCTGTCTGGCCCAGCTTGGCTCCTCATCTCGCAGATTTGTTACGTTGGAACCAACAGCACAATGTTTCTGCGAAGGCCCTGCGGCCCGCGCTTTCCCTCGCCCCCTCTGCTCTCCTGCCCCTCTTGCCCTCAGCCGACCCCACGGCACTTGCTCTGTGTCCGGGCAGAGCTGGGCTCAGGGCACCTGCTGGGCCTGAGACCTGGTCCTGCCCTCAGATGCCCGCTGTCGCCTGTTCTCGCAGCCTGTCCACACCAGCCGCCCACACAGGGGCTGCTGCACTGTCAGCACAGGTCGCCCACACCGCCTCCGCTGTCTCCCTAATACTGGCTGTGCTGGCGACGCCCTTGGCTTTCCCAGCCCTTCCCTGGGACGGGCCACAGGTGTCTGCCTTTGCTTTCAGCTTTTTCTAAATAGCAGTGGAATGGACATCTTTGAAAACAAAGCCCTCTCCCCTTTAACGAGATGTATTTTCAGATGCTGATTTCCTGGCTCAATGGCTCAATGCACACGCGCCAGCTACGTCCTCAGGGTTGGCCTGACTCACAGGAGTGGCTACGAGCTCGGCTCTGAGTTAAATCTGGCTCCGCCTTGGCCTCACGTGTGACTTGGATCTCTCTGGGCCTCACTGTCTTCACCTGCAAAATGCGCTTGTAGTTCCTACTTGTGGGGCCATTGTGAGGACTAGCTCACGGGTGTGAAAGGACCCTGCTCACTCGGTAAATGCTATTCTGCTTTCTTGCTTCTTTGTGGCCTACTTCCACCCCAGGGACAGCTGACAAGTCCTAATTCAGCTTCTGTTTCTCCATTTTCCCTGAAGTCTCACTCTGATCCTTGTAGGAAAGCAGCACACCCCAACCCAGTGGGAAACAGGGCTGCTGTGTGGGGTGGTGCAGGCTGTGCACTGCACAACCCTAGAGGGCACCATCCACACATGGACATTGTAGAGGTGCATATTTGTCACCACACTTTTCTAGAGGAAGGTACCTTGTGGACTGATGGTTGCCTTAGAACCGGACAGACTGGGTTCAAAACCCCATTCTGCCACCCTAGGCAAGCTACTGAACCTGTCTGTGCCTCAGTTTCTTGCTCAATAAAATGGTAATAACCATTCATACCTTGCAGGGCCAGTTGTGCAGGAGACACTGTAAATGCTGATCTTTGCCCTTGAATGGTGGTGGGGAGCTAGGAGGGTTTCAGGCAGGACTTTGTGACTGGTAATTAGAGCCGAAGTTCACTGAGTGCCCTCCGTGGGTCAGACACTCTTCTTCAAAGCACTTTCCATTTGTTAACTCACTTTATGTTATTTTCATTCCCATTTACAGATGATGAACTAGAGGGCACAGGGAGGTTGGGTAATTGCCTAGGGCCACACAGCCAGGGAGCCAGGATTCTAACCCAGGCAGCCTGCTCCAGAACTTCCTACCCAGCGTCCTGCAAAGGGCAGAAGTGTGACTCTCGGGGGAGGGGGAGCTGGCCATCTGCTCAAGGCCCTAACACAGGGCCCGTCCCGGCACCTGCCCCTGCTGAGCCGGGCCTCACCTCCACCGTGATGGTGACGTTGACCTCAGTGCTGAGGACAGGCACGCCACAGTCAGCCACACGCACGGTCAGCACAATGCGGCCCCCCAGGCCGGGGTCGATGGCCTCTCTGTCCAGGGGCCCCAGGTTTCTGAGGGTCCCATCGTCGGGGTCCACTGAGAAGTTGTGGCTGTAGGGGCCGGCCAGCAGGCTGAAGTGCAGGAGGCTGTTGTTGGTTTCCGGCTGGTCGTTGTCCTGAGCCTGTGCGGATGAGCAGGGTGGGGCATTGGCCATCAGCTGCCCCTCGTCCCTCCCTTGCGGCCTGGCCTCCCTCTCCAGCACTCCCTTCTCCCGCCACAGCCCGCACTAGGGCAGTAACGGGGCCTGAAGCCAAGGGGACCCTGGCCCATCTCCCAGCCTCAGCCTCCCATCTAAGAGGGTCAGATCAACAGCTTGCCAGAGCTTCTGAGATCGTAAGCACTGAGGTCATTCATTCAGCCCACAATGTTGACTGCTTACCTACCATGTGCCCTGCCCTGTTCCAGGCACTGGAAATAGAGCTGTGATCAAGACGGTTCCCCTATGGAGCTGATATTCTAGGGGGAGGGGGCGTGGGGGCAGCATATCATAGACATGCAAAATTTTAAAAAACAAACCAACGTAAGTGTGAAGTCCAACAGGATGCTGATTTTCCCATGATGACGACTTCAGTGTTGTATTTTTTTTTTATAATTTTATTTTTTTATTTTTTTTCCCCCCAAAGCCCCAGTAGATAGTTGCATGTCACAGCTGCACATCCTTCCAGCCGCTGCTTGTGGGACGCGGCCTCAGCATGGCCGGAGAAGCGGTGCGTCAGTGTGCGCCCGGGATCCGAACCCAGGCCGCCAGCAGCGGAGCGCGCGCACTCAACCGCTAAGCCATGGGGCCGGCCCAGTGTTGTATTTTTAAAATAGCTGATTCTTTACCCAGTTTCTGTCCTGTCAGGGTCCTGAACACGTGCTTGGTTTGCCTTCGGGGTGATACAACATGGAGAACACAACAGGTTCTCCATGCTACTGAGCCTTTGCTCATGCTGTTCCCTCACCCTAAATGCCCTCTACGCCTTCTCTGCCCGACTCCAAGGCAGGCTAGTGTCTCCCTGGGCCTCCACACCCCTGTACCACCATCAACACAGCACAAGTGACACCCTTGGGTGGCTGTCTGGTGCCCTCTCCCTGACTGAGAGTCACCTGGAGGCAGGAATTATGGTGGATTCATCTCCGGGACCCGGGGCCCAGCAAAGGGCATGGTGCATGGCGGGTGCTCAGCAAATGTGGCTTTGAATCCCGAGCTGGGCTCCTCTGACTCAGAACCAGTTCTTTCCGCTCCCTCCCTGTCCACTCCCACCTCAGCCATTTCATTTCAGCTCTGTGGGGATCTTGTTTATTAAATGCCTCCTTTGTAGCAGCCAGAGATGGTGTTTCCCAAAGTCTGACCCTGTCTGTTCACCCTCGGCACTCAACTCAGGCCAGTGAATTCACAAGTGCTTGTGGGGCTCACACCGTAACCACGGTTACAGCAGCAGATGTGAAATGCTCCTGCCCCCAGGAGCTCGCAGAGCGGAGTGGGAGTATCAAGGAGCAAGGAGAAAGGCCCAGGGTTCAGGGCAGAGAGCTCTGGGCTCCAGCCCCAGCGCTGCTGTTCACTAGCTGTGCAACCACAGAAAGTCGCTTAACCTCTTTGAGCCTCAGTTTTCTCCTTCTGTGAAATGGGGACCACTAGAGTATCTCTTCACAAGTTGGTCCAGAGATCAGGGATGGGAATGTGCTCTGGAAACCACACAGCCCCAGAGAGATGGGAGGGCTCCGTGGCCTCGTGACTGTCATTCTGATGACCTGTTCCTCACTTCTCACAAGACTCCCTTTCAGCTTACTCAGAGAAGCTTCTCTCTGGTGTTTCTCGGGAGCCAATGCTGGGTTTTTATCTCATAGATTGTGAACCTGGCCACTGATCTCATTTTGTTTTTCGCTTTGGCCGTTAGGAAGCTCGGAATTGAATTTTCAGCCCAATCTTAGCAACTGTGTGGCTCTAACAGTTGGGTTCTAACTATACATTTGTGCCCTTTAACAATACCATCCTTATTTTCTCTTTTCCCTTATTTCTTCCATATTTTTATCTTACTTTTTAATCTAAGCCACCTGAAATCCTTTTTAGAATAAGGCATGAGCTTGAATTAAAAGGAGCACTATGTTGGGCCGGCCCTGGGGCTTAGCGGTTAAGTGCTCACGCTCTGCTACTGGCGGCCCGGGTTCGGTTCCTGGGCGTGAACCGACGCACCGCTTCTCTGGCCATGCTGAGGCCGCGTCCCACATACAGCAACTAGAAGGATGTGAAACTATGACATACAACTATCTACTGGGGCTTTGGGGGAAAAAAAAACAAGGAGGAGGATTGGCAATAGATGTTAGCTCAGAGCCGGTCTTC